GACACGTGGCTCGTCGACCTCCGCCGTCACCTCACTGGTCAGCGGCAGGACGGCCGTTCACATCGACGGTACGCTCCCCTGCCCTGATCCCCCTGCTGCTCTACCTGCTCACCCCAGATCTGCTGACCGTGAGGCTGATGCCGCTGCTGTCCTTGCCCGTGCTATGTGGTTGTCACGTGACGCTGTCGCACATCCCGCGATTAGTCATGCCCTCCCCCTTTCTGAGCGCCCTCGATTAGGTCGGTCAGGACTGCGCAGGAGTTCCTAGAGGTAGTTGTCGCGCGCTATTCCACCCCGCCCTCTGCCTCCGTCAATCGCCTGATCCTGCCCATGCTCTTTCCTGATCTCGCGTCTTTCTCCACTGTTGCTGACCTGGCCGCCCACCTGCGCACGCTAGACGCGACCTGGCGCGCTGCCTGCACTGAGGCCCAGCTTCGTGTGTTTCAGCCCCCCATCTGCTCTACCCTCTACCTGCTTGCCACCTGCCTCTCTAACTGCCTTGCTACCGACCGCGATCACTTCCTTAGTCTCCACCCCGCTGATATCACTCTCCCTGACTTTCTACCCACCCTGTCTGCCATAGAGACTCGTCAATGCTCTATCGCCCAGTCTGGCGGTACCGTACCGGTCCCTATCTTTCAGGGCTGTGCCCCTGCTCAGTGCTCTTGCTCTGACGGTTCTGCTGCTGTCACTAAGACAGCCGCCGCGGCTGCCGCAACGCAGTTTTGTCCGGATAAGGGTCGCCGCCCCAAGGCTGGGCGCGGCGGAGGTAGCGGAGGAGGGGGTGGAGGCGGTGGTGGAGGTGGTTCAGCCTTGACGAGGGTGTTTTCAAGGAGGCGGGCGAGGCCTGAATTCAGCCATGTGGCAAGTGGCCACACCACCGCCTGTATGTCGACATTGCCACGACTAGGCATGACGAAACGAGTGGAGTCATCAAAATGACGAGTCAAGTTTTTATTATTTTTGGCTTCCCCGATTCGTCGAGAAGTAAAAAACGGGCAACTCACCGTTCCAAAAACGTGAAACCGGGCGGGGTTGGACCCGCAGCACGTTGTGTGAGTGTTGGAGGGATGATGACTTCATAGAAGCTCATTTGCCTACCACAAAAGGCATTGCATGGCGTGTCCCTAGTAGTGCAAAACTTACGTTAAAGCCCGCGTCTCATATTTCCTAAGGTAATACGCTTCGTACTAGGTAACGTAGGTTCTTTTTGTGCGAGGGCTCGCAAGTGAGTGCTAGAGAAGATATCCAACCTCAGCAGGAAACCCGAGGAAGCGTTCTCATTAAACGAGGTTTCGGAAGCTGGGCTGGTTACATGGAATCAGGCGCGAAAGTGTCTGAGGTAACAAACTTTCGTCTTGAAATCCAACACCGGTAACACAACTTTTTGCGAAACTTTGGGAATTGAACCCCAAAAATCCACGCCCTTAATGTTTCGTGGGCTCAAACCAACCGTAATACGGGTCTGCAGAAATACGAGACTCAAGCCTCGTCAAAGTTGGACCTTCCACGATTTTCAAATTTGTCGCGACCCTCCTCCACTCTCTTTCAAAATTTCGCCTCTCGCCCCCCTATCAGACCCTCCCACCAAAGGTAATACCTTAGGTCGGTAGGAAATATGAGATGCGGGTTTTAAGTGGTTTCCGATTGATCTCGGTTGGGCGTTTTTGGGTCGCGGTTTATGCGTTCTAGAAAGCACGTAACATTCGCCCATCACCTCAGGACTATGAAGCCGCAACAACTTGAAGTTGTTCCCGGCGACTAAAATTAAACTATTCGAGTCGAAATTGGCTCCAGTTAGTCAATTTCGCTGCCGATCCGCGCGGGTCGAGTGGTTAGCCCCCCGATCCGTGCAGGTTTGGTCAATAATCCCCCGAATCGTGCGGGTCGGGTCGTTGACCGATTATCCACGCGGATCTGGCGTCGGCAGCGGCAACCTAAATTCCCTGCCAAGGTTATTGTACACCTGCTCTACGCTAAAGAAGACGTGTTTTTTCACGTGGTTAGGGCTTGTTCCCCAAAAAAATCAAACAAAGGGCAAACGAGACATTAGCCCGGAAAAGGCACAGTAACTCCCGGGTAAAATGTTAAACATTTCGGCCTAGCTTTGGGGGTCAATGCGGTTCAGCTCGGTACCTGGTTGTTGGGACTGAACGTAGGGGGACATGAGCATGCGGGAATTGCAATTGGGACCCTATGGGCGACAAGATCATGCGAGAATTGCAATTTGGACTATTAATCCGAGAACCATAGGGTGGAGCAGGTGTACTTGTTAGAGTTGACTCTTGAGTTTGGACTGAGGGAAGTGGCATGCCATCAGGCCCACTTTGCCTCGTCAGCCCAACCGTCCATCAGAAGAAACAGACCTCTCTGTAGCTAACGAGAAACGAGCCTCTGGCAAATCAGGTCAAACCCACCACGTGGCCGTTGACATTGCAATGTCAACGGGCAACGGCTTCGTTCACATTCCTGCATCGTTTAAAGCGAGGATCTCAAGAAGCGCGAAACCAAGTCCAAAAGGTTTGGTTTTGGGTTGGCGAAATGAGCGAAGAAGTAACAGTGGCCCTCCAACACCCCTCACAATACCTAGCAAATTTCGCGACCCCCCAAAGCCAAAACCTTTGGATTTGGTTTTCTGCTTCTTGAGACCCTCGCTTTAAAGTGAGCGTACAGACCAAACTCAAGAATCAAAGGTTTTGAGTCCCCCGACGCACGAAAACTAACGCGAAACAAACACGGTAACCAAATACCAGTAGGAGGGGTGCGATTTTGATTTGGGAAGATTCTGATTGGCTATGCGACTCACCACCAATCCAGCGACAGGACAAGGAAAGCCTCCCCCCCCGCCATACCAAGACCCAAAGCTTTTGCTTTTTACTCTGTACTCAGCAGCCATGGCTCCTTCCCCGTCATTCTCGCTCCCTAATACAGCGCTTACCTCATATTTTGTCATTCATGGGAAAGGTGCGGCTTATTAGTAATGTTTACACGTTCTCGTACCCCTGTGGGCGACAGCTATCTGCCGCATCTCCGTTACTTTATGCGACAAGTGATTTCGTACCTAATCACCTACTTCACTGCATGCCACACTATCATTTTAGGGCGCGCCACGCAAAGACCTTATTAGCGAGCTCTTAGGCATTTCCTCGCCGTTGCACCCAAATACCTCGCCCGTTGCCTCGCTTCCCACTCCCCGCTCCTTGCAGCAGCCGCGAGAGCGCTGCCCCGTCTTACCACTCTTCCGCATTCCCTGTTTTCTGCCCCGCCCACTGCATCTGCCTGCATTCGCCTCCCCGATTTCCCGCACTCAAGCTGCCCCTGCTCTCCCGCTTTCCGGATCCCGCTTCCTGCTCTCTCGATTCCCACTTTCCCATTATCCTGCTCCCCCGATTTTCCACTTTCTGCCCAATCCGCTTGCCCGCGTTCCCGCGGTCCTGATTTTCGCTTTCCCGCGTCCCCACTTCCCCCCAGCACCCATTTTCCCCTCCCTTTCCCATCCTCGTCGGCCATCCCATGTCTTTCCGTCGCCAATTCCCTCCCTTCCTATCCCCGCACCCTTCCCTTTGCGTAGCTCATTCGTCCATTCCCTCACTCAAGCTCTTGCCTTGTCCTCCCGCTCCTCCCTCTGTTATCCCTCCCAACCTTCCCACCATATCCCTATATCCTCTGTTATCCTCACACTGCCCCTTCTCTCTCTCCCGCTTTCTGCCCATCTCTCTCTCCGCCGCAGCCCACCTCACTCTCCCCCGCTCTACGTGTTAAGTTATATATGTTAGTATATAATTGTAGGCTTGGTAGGCGTTACTGAGCTTTACTGTAAAGGGTACAACACCCCTCCTTGTATCCCTCTCTCTTCTCTTCCCAACTCTCTTTTCTCTCCTCAACTTTCCTAGCCTAAAAACTCTCGCCATTTCCATGGCCCCTCTCACTCCTAGCTACCATTCTTTCTAACTAAACACTGCGCACCTCTCTCACGCCTACTCAAGGTTTAAAAAACGACGTCTTTTTTTCATATTTATACCGTTTGCCACGGTACCGTATTTTCGGTGGTTTTAAACGGTTCTGAAAGTTAGCTTTTTTTTTGTTTGGGTAAAAAAACGGTGGTTTTATACGGTCGATTTTTTTAAACCATGGGTGTTCAGCAGCAGTTCGAATTTGATACCGAATTCGGACGATTGGGTGTACACCCAACCGTCCGCGAATTTCGGTAAACACATTCCCGAAGCGCGAAATCTCGCGCGCCCCGAGGCGCGCATTTTGGAATTTTCGCCAGACCCGTTGCGAAACCAAAATCGTTTTCGCAACGGGCTGGCGATTCTAATCACGCCCAATAGCGGGATGTCGCGAATTGGGCGACTCACGCAACCGACTCGCATTTCGAAATCGCAATTTCACCCCTCCCAACCCGTTCTTGCAACCCCAACCCAACTAAACCTTACGTTAGAGATACAAATTGCACAGCAGCAACAGGGAGCATTCATTAGTTAGTCTAGCATTTTGGAATTAGTGGCTTAACTCCGCCAATCCAGTGTGGCTGAACTACTTCACGCCGATTCCAGCGCGTATTTTAGGCGCGATCCAGCGCTCAACAGCCTCGCGAGACGTATGCACCTTATCGCCATGCCCCGCGCCCCATCCCCTTTGTGGGCGAATGTGAAGCGTACTCGGGCTAAAGATTGGCAAGGTCATCCGGTCGGAATGCTTGCACTGCGGTTTGAAAATTTCGGGTAGTGCGACGCGCATACAAGAAGAGCACCTTTATGGCACCCCTGCGTCGAAATTCAAGAATATTGTGGAGTGCAACTCCGACTTTGCAAGGAACCTCCGCGCAAGGGGAGCCTTGTCTTCTTCTACTACAACGGCGACAAACCGTGAGTCGGCGACCGCAGTTGCTGCACCATCGGGGAAGCGCTGCCGAACTCGCGACATTCGCGGCATGGTGGACAAGGCCGGGCGGGACGCCCTTGATCTCCTTTGGGCGACCGCCATCGTGGAGAACGATTGGGCGTTCCATGTTTCGCGGTAAGTGCGCCGTTTCATGCCATCCCACCCCCTTTTCCAGCTTTGTAGACGCTCTCCCGCCGCACTCCTGCTCTCCCTTTGCCGTGGCGCCCACCACTAGGTCGCCCGCTGTCCAAGCATTCGTGGAGGGGGTCGCCCAAAGGAGACCGCATATGACAAGCCCTACGAGCTGCCAAGTGCGTACAAGGTTACCCATCCCCTCCTCGACAAGCTCAAGACCGAGACCAAAGCGCTTATGCGACCCATCAAGGAGTCTTGGGCCTCGACCGGCGTATCTCCGTCTAAGAACACATGGAACGACCTCAAGAGCCATGGTCTTGTGTGCATCATCGGCATGAACGACACGGTGCCGGTAGTGGTCGACGTGGTCTATTCGAAGACCCATAAGAAGACTGGCGCCTACCTTGCATCGCTCATTTGGGATGCGATTTGCAAGGTAGGACATACTCGCGTTGTCCAAGTGGTGATGGACAACGCGAGCAACAAGGGGGCGGCGGCCGACCTTGGTGAAGGATTCCCCATGGTATTCTTCACCAATTGTGTGGCACATTGCCTCGACTTGATGCTCGGTGACCTTGGGGCGATAAGCGTGGTGCATAAAGTCCTGCAGCAAGCGCACCAAGTAGTCATGCTCGTGAAGGCTAGCGCCACCACCGTGACCCTCTTTCGAGAGGTCTTTAGCGAGTTGGAGCTAGTCCGTCCTGGGGCTACTCGATTTGGCACGCAAGTCCTTATGGTCGGCCGTTTCTTGGAGGTGAAATAACAGTTGAAGAGCATGGTGATTAGCGAGGAGTGGGCAGAAGTGCCTGCAACGAAAACGAAGAAGGGGAAGCGGATTCAAAGCCTTCTCCTAGACGAGGCTTTTTGGGGCTCGGTGGAGGCAGTGCAAAATTTGTTGATGCCGATTTATGAGGTGCTTCGGGCTGTGGACACCCATTCTCACCTCATGGGGCACATCTATGGCTTGATGCTTGACGTGACAATGAAAACCAACAAGGCCGCGGAGGCCGCAGGTACTTGCCCATCCCCTCACCGCCCATACTCCGTTGCGTACATTTTTTGTATGGTCGAGGACAATATGCAGCCCCTACCTTTCCGGCCCTTAGTAACCTGCCTCAAACCGTTGTTCTCTGTTTTTTTTTTCCAGCCACATTTTTCCAGCCACATCGTTCTTGACCAAGGTGCAAAGGATCATAGCAGCACGTTGGGACGGCCAACTCCACAACCCGCTCCATGCTATGGGTTGGCTCCTCAACCCCCTTAACTGCTTTGCCTAGGAGGTGAGGACCGACTCGGAGATTGGTAAGGGGGTGAAAAGGGTGACGGAGGCGTGGGAGCCGGACATTCAGCGCCGCACACTCCTCCAAACCCTAATCGCCCGCTACCATAGGGGGGAGGGGATGTTGGGCATTTTGGAAGCACGGTGGGCCACCACCCACCTTGTGGAGAGCGGGCGGCTCTCGGAGGCGGAATGGTGGACCACCTTTGGAGGGGAGGCGAGGGTGTTGCAGAGATCGCGGTGAAGGTGCTCTCCCAACCCACGACCGTATCCGAGGTGGAGCGAGCGTGATCGGCGTTCGCACGGGTGCAACGTCGAGATCGCAACCGGTTGAACACCTCCACCTTGATTGAAGTCACGGAAGTGGCGATCAGCCGGCGCTCGAGAAAGGCTTTCGACCGGAAGGTTGCGGCTTGGGACCGCCTCTACCAAGATCTAGGCGCTAGCGTGCTCGGAGAGGGGAGCTGTGGCCCCGCACCACTTGCCTCCCAAGAGGAAGAGGGGGAGGGGGAGGAGGTGGAGGAGGAGGAGGAGGAGGAGGAGGAGGAGGAGGTGGAGGGAGCGGTTGAGTGCACTATCGATTGGGAGTCCTTTGGGAGCATAAGTGAGAGGAAGGAGAAGAAGGGGAAGACCTCCACCGTGAAGTGTTCAAAGAAGGCAAAGGGCTCGGGGAAAGGGAAGGAGAAGGAGAAGGGGCAGGGGAAGGGGAAGGGGATTGAGAAGGCGAAGGAAAGGGGAAGGGGAAGGGTAAGGGGAAGAGGGCATGGGTAGAGGAGGAGGAGGACGAGGAGGACAATGAGAAGGAAGTTCGTGGACCATGGGATCTCGGCGTGGGAGAGGGGGGAGGGGTTGGGGGGGGTCGGCGGAGGAGGAGGATGACGACGAGGACGACGAGGACGAGGAGGAAGAGGAGGAAGAGGAGGAGGAGGCCGAGGAGGAGGAAAAGGAGGATTCGGGGGAGGAGGAGGAGGAGGAGGAGGAGGAGGAGGAGGAGGAGGAGGAGGAGGAGGAGGAGGAGGAGGAGGAGGAGGAGGAGGAGGAGGAGGAGGAGGACGTGGAGGAGGAGGAGGACGATGAGTAGGGGGAGGAGAAGGGGTAGGAGGAGGGGTAGGTGGATGAGGAGGAGGATGGGTAGGAGGTAGTGTAGGGGGGAAATAAGTAGTAAGTGGGAGGAATATGCGGCAGATTCGAGCCTTGGCGGACCTATTTAGCTCAATCAGGACCCCTACTATGCATGCCATAGCCACCAATAGTCGTCTATTTTGTCCCCTTCTGTCCCTTGGTTTTTTTTTTTTTTTTTTTTTTTTTTTTTTTTTTTTTTTTTTTAATTCGAAGACTGGGGAGGGGGGGAGGGGAAGACTGGGGCATTTCGAAGCTGGGAAGGGGGCTCGCCGCCCGCTTTCTCCCTCTCTCCCTCCCATCACCCTTTCTTTCAGCCCTGGTCGCGATCTAGGAACTCCCTCCCTTCCCTTCCCATCCCTCCTTTCTCACACTCTCATCTACCCATCTCACACTCCCTGTATTCCCTCATTCATCTCACTACCTATTTCTCTCCCCCCCCCCCCCCCCCCCCCCCCCCCCCCCCCCCCCAGCCTCTCTCTGAAGCGGTCCTTTGTATTCATGCCCAAACCTGAGTACAGGGCTCGGCTCTTCAGGGGTTTGACAAACCATGCATCCTAACCCTCCTCTGCCCCGCTAGCCTAAGGTACGTCCACTCCCGCTTCCAGGACTACGAAGCAGGGTCTAGGCACTCCTCTCCCATTCACCCGTCTCCCTTGCTCCCCTCTCTCGTTCTCCCCTCTACCCATGCTCCTCTCTCCCGTTCTCCCCTCTCCCATGCTCCCCTCACCCGTACTCCCCTCTCCCATGCTCCCCTCTCCCATACTCCCGTCTCCCTTGCCCTCTCCCTGGGTAGGGGGGATCCGGGCTCTCTTTGGGGGCGGGAGGAGGGCTATGGGAGGGGGGGAAGCAGGGCTATGGGAGGGGGGGAAGCAGGGCTATGGGAGGAGGGGAAGCAAGGCTATGGGAGGGGGGGAAGCAGGGCTATGGGAGGTGGGGAAGCAGGGCTATGGGAGGGGGGAAAGCAGGGCTATGGGAGAGGGGGAAGTAGGGCTACGAGAGGGGGGGAATGGGGGGTATAGATGGGAGGCATTGGGGCTCACTCTTCTCCCCTCTTCCCCCCCCACACCCGTTCTCTCTCTCCCTCTTTCTCTTTCACTCTCTCTCTCTCTCGCCTCTCACCCGTTCTCCCCTCCTCCCCGCGCTCCCTCACCGTCCCTCCCTCTGTCCCTCCCTCTCTCGCGCGCTCTCTCTCTCGCCCCCTCTCTCTCTTCCTCCCTTTCTCCTACTCCATTTTCTCATTCTCTCTCTCTATCTCTCTTGTTCTCCCTTTCCCCCTCACTCTCCATCCACCGCCTGCCCCTTTCATCCTGGATCGTTTTTTGCCTTGGACATTCACCCCCCACCCCCCCCCCCCTTTCTCCTACGAGCTGCTCCCATTCTCACCTCCTACTTCCATCCTGTAGGTTGCAAGGCGCGTGGAAAAGGAGGTGAATAACGCCTAGGCTAGAGGCCCCTGGCTGTTCCTAGCTAGATTGTTAGGGGTTTCCTAGGTTGTGTTGCATTGTGTATCTTGTTCTTGCCTAAGAAAAAATAGATGCTATTGTTAAGTCGTGTGCTTCATTGTGTAACCATCGTCTCTTATCCGTGTAAAAGTAGATGCGTTGTGCTAGTTTCTTAGTTTTTTTGTTTTTGTTTTGTTGTATACATGAGCCTCACCAACACAGCACAGTGCTTTTCTCCGTAAAGGATGTTTACTGTTTATTTCTGTCGGAACAGTCCTTCGTGAGTTCGATGGGCAGCATCGCCCGTTGTACCCTTACGAAATCGCCAGTTTTGGCGAGACCATTTCAGTCGTCGCGAGGCCCCTCGCGTTTCACGAGGGGCCCGCCCCATTTTTGCGATACTTGTGCCCCTCGTCATTTTCGTTACCCCCAACTCAATATTCAAAGTTTTTGAATCTTGAGTTTGGTCTGTCCGCTCGCTTTAAAGCGAGGATCTCAAGAAGCGCGAAACCAAATCCAAAAGGTTTGGTTTTGGGTTGACGAAATAAGCGAAACAGTAACATCGCCCAACCAGCACCCCTCACCACACCTCGCAATTTTCGAGACCCTCCAAAACCAAAACCACAGCAATTCACGTTTGACGGAACACTCCATGGCGTTTGACTCTAGAGCACCAGTACATTCCATGCAAAACGCTGGCAAAAACTTTGTCGAGGTGTTCGCAATCCGCGACAACCTCGTTACTCTCAAGCAAGACACTTGAAACCGAAGAGAACAAGATGCTAGCGGCCGAGAAATCACTGTGGAAGTATCTGCTACAAACCGTTTTGCCAGGGGTTGCCAGCACTACCAATCCACCAAGTATTCGTTTAAGTCGTCTGTTTCGTTTGGGGTGGCAGCGATTGTTTGACCTGCATGGCGACTGTAACGCTATACAGTCGCTTGCCTGAGGGTGCGTGGAAAGTCGAGCACCAACAAACCGACGAGTGGACGAACGGAGACGCGGGTCTATGACCAATCGCGTGCCTGCAAAATGTTTTGTGGGAAAAGTTTCAACTGATTGAGGGGCACGTCTGAAAATGTTCTTGAAAGTTGGGCACGCGCGCCAGCACGAAACCCCACGAACAACAAAGTGCAGTTCGCCAAACCTCCACCTAGAATAGCGAACCCTGAACAGTGGAGAATTGCCTTTGTTATGGGTTGCGGAGAATTGCCGAACTCAGCACGATTCTGTTACAGTTTCAAAAATGGTAAGTCAAGATGTTCTATTTGCCTCGTTTGAATCACCTCATGACTGTACTCAATTGTTAAGCAGGCCAAAATCTCCCGACGAACGGAACCGCCGTCCTACTTTCCACGCACCCTGAGAAACCCATGTTTGACGAACCTCGCTCTCTGTGCGACATTACAAACCTGGCCCAAACTTGGGGTGGTTGGAACCAAATCGACTCTAATATGTGCTATTTAAACGAAAACTTGGGTGTACTCTCCGGCGCGGCTCGGTCATTGACACGGAGTGTTCCGTAAAAGAGGTTTACACCCTAAATCTCGTTAAAATCAAGCGTGGATGTCAGGACGGCTGCGTTTGTTTTAACGGAATGTGAATGTACGTGACACCGCGCGGAACCGAACGCCGGGGGTATCCCGAGCACCCAAAGCACTGGTGGTGTACTCTGGAGTGACGAGTGTTTGACCCCACAGAGAGGGTTGATTAGTAAGGAGATGAAAAACACTGGAAGGGGGTGCAACAGCAAAAAACACCCGTGCGCTGAACCGAATGTTGTTCCCGTACCGTCGTGAGCAGGTAATTGTTCCTTGTTTCCTTCTAGAACTCACAGATGTTCAGGTGACACTAGGATGTGTTGAAGTTCGTTTGGAGACCTTGGGGCAGTTCAAAAGGGCTAGCTCAACCCGTCCTCTTCAGTGGGTTTTCCCGCACTAGGCCATATTTGGTCCAGAGCAATGAGAAATTCCATTTCACAATGTGATAAGAAGTCGATCTGGGCAATGACTGTATCCGTCTTTTGATGCTACGTGATTTGAGACAAACGAGATTTAGGGTGTAATAACATGCCTTGTGCAACAACCCATCCGTCCCTATTTTTCCTAAACTACAGACATGTCCATGTCGTACCATGGCGTATTTTTTATGCGTAATTTCCCGGATGAGTTTTTCACTGAACCTGGATTCTGACAAGTGACTTTTCCCAAAACAGGGTTTGAATCCGGATTCTGACGGGTGACTTTTGGCATAACTGGATGTGAAACCCGGTTTTGACGGGTGGATTTTGACAGAACAGGGTACTGAACACACATTCTGACGGGCAGCTTTGGCCAGATACCCGGATCTGACAGGTGCCCCAAGAACCAAACGTAAGCCCTGGTCATACCCTCTACACCCAATATTGACACCCTAGTGCCCCGGTCCCAGCATTTTGCAGAAGACATCCTTGCCGCCCGAAAGAAAGGAGCCGAGGCCATCCGGAAAGCCAACTTGGTGGCTAGCCGACAAGCTCATCGCCATCGACGTGACATCAATTATAAAGTGTGAGACCTCGTCCTACTCGACACTCGAAACTTGCGTCTGCAAATTCCGAGCAAACTCTGACCCCGCTACTATGGCCCATTTCAAAGGACCAATACACCTGATGCCTTTTTTAGTTCCAATTTTTATTTCGGGTGGGTGCTGTTGTGTCGGACACAAACAACTCCTTAGAGCTCGGCTTGTACATAGGACCAGGATTACCACTTTGACATCGATGCTATAAAAAATGGTGGTATGCGCTGTTGTTTGTGTGAATATCGGTAACAGCATGCACTGCGGCAGCAAATTCCGGGCGTCATTTCTTTGACTAGTGTGCATGTTTCTCGGAGGCGCAATCTTCAACTAAGATTGCGCCTGATTCAGAAGCCTGTACACCTCGGACCGTTGCTCGTAAAACCTGTCAAGTGGGACTGAAAATAGCCCGAGGGCCTCAGATAAATGGGCAGTTGGTTGAGCATCATATGTATGGTGACACTTGTTACAGCACACCTTCGACTCCCGACCGACTGGGGTCACCATCCGCCTTTCCACGTTAGCCTCCTGCGACTTTACGTCCCGAGTTCGTCGGATTTGACATGTCAACGAATCGTCCCGCAGCTGACGCCCCTGCAAGAACCGACAACCGAGCCTCTTGGGGCTGGTTTTACCAGGCACCCAAGGACCCTCGAAGGTGACCCCGCAGAGTAAGCTTTGTATGCTTGAGTCCCTATTCCTTGAGCGTTATTAGGTTCGTATTGCTAACAAGTGGTATCAGAGCTCGGGTTATTGTAATTGCCATTGGAACACCATGGTCACCGGCGGTATGGAAGGGTCTTCGGGCAGCCAGAGTAGTGGAGGCCAAGAAACGGTGGTCACGGCGCCAAGGGGAGCGCGGACCAGCCAAGGCCCACTTCTCAAGGACGTGCTGAAGAACTTCACATTGGAGAAGTTCAACGGCAACGAGTACGACGATTGGGCGTGGAAGGTGCGGCTGTATTTTCGGCAAGTGGGCTTGCTCAAGTTAATGGATGGGTGAGGAGAAGAGACCGAGCGACCCCGTCTTGCAAGGAGAGTGGGACGAGCGTGCGTCAGCTGGCTACTATCTCCTCTCTCAAAGTTTGGAGCTGAACCAGAGGTCACACGTGATGCACCTACTGGAAGAAGCTGATTGCGGGCCACAAGCCTGGGCAGTGCTAAAGGAGTCGCATGCGCCAACCTTGGTAGCTGCAATACTCATGCTAGAGCGTGAGCTGACATCATTGCACCTGAATGAAGGGGAGCCGACTCAGCCGGTTCTTGACAAGGTGCAAGAACTCTACGCTAAGCTAACCACTGCGGGCATCACCTACCCTGAGAAGACAAAGTGTTTGAAGATGTTGTCCCTGCTGCCGGAATCTTGGGTGCAATTCACCTCTGGTCTGAGCTTACCGCAAAATGAAGGGCTTTGGACATTGGAGTGGGTGCGGGCTCGGATCCTAGAGGAGGAGTTCAGGAGGAGGCAGCTGAGGAACAATGATGATGTACATGGAAGCTATGTAGTACAAGGAATCATTCGGAGTGGAGGTAGAGGCCCGTTCAATGATGGACGTGGACGTCGACAAGGCCATGGGAACAGAA